ATCTGTGCTGTTAACACACACAGTAACACAAGTCTTTATGTTTGAACAGTTTTTAATATTTCTTCAATAACAAGGAGGATTTTTAATAAAAATAACATATCTTGTATTAGTCACTTTTCTGTTGCTATGACAAAATACCTGAGAGAAACCAACTTAAAGGAGGACAGATTTATTTTGATTCATGGTTTCAAAGTTTTCAGTCATTGTTTCTGGGCCTGTGGTGAGGTAGAACATCATGGTGGAAGGGTGTGACAGCAACGCTGTTCACTTTATGGTGGTAGGGAAGCAGAGAAGGGTCTGGGGACAAGACGCCTCCAATGACCTGCTTCCTTCAACCAGGTTTCATCTCCTGTTAGTTCATAAGCTATGAATTCATCAATGGAATGAAGTTAGTGCTCTTGTGATCCAGTTCTCTCTCAGTAGTCCCACTAACTGGGGCCGTCAACACAGCCTTATGGGTGGACATTTCATATCCAAACCATACCAAATCTTAAGGCAGAACCTACAAGAGGAGTTCCTTTGTAGGTTTAGTCAACTCTTAATTAGCTAAGGTCAGTTATTCCTCAGCGGTTAGTCAGCTTTCCTCATGTAATGTGTTGCAGGATGATAGTTCATCAGGAAGGTGTCCTTTATTTATAAATATCTAAAATCTCCCAGCTAGTGCATTATACTCATGTGAGAATTCTGTATCCCAGTAAAAATGGCCACAGCAGTGGTAGCTCTGTGCCAGGGCCCTTCTGGGATTCAGCTATTTCTTGACTTGAACAAGGTGGCTCTTTAAAGGAGTTCTAGTCAAGATGAGGATTAGTGATTGCTCTTCCATTCCCAGAAGAGTTGGGCCTGTACTGACATTGGATATGATTGCTTGCTATATCCTTTAACTCATCAACAAAGAATTTCTTTTGAGTGAAGGGGAAAAATGTTTAGATGAGCAAACTGCCACAGCTTGAGGCTTTAGTGCCTGTCCTTTCTTTGTGCCTCTGCTTGCCTCCTCTCAGTGCTGGGGAGAAAAGGACATCGGGTTTCATGGTATATGATTGACAAAGGAGCTGCAGCAACTCCACTGTCCCTTATCCTTTATCTCTTTTCTGTTCTTTTTGCTTATCCTCATTCCTCTCCCTCCACCGCTTTGCTTTAGTGTTCTTTTTTGACCTCTTGTGTGCATTGCAGACATATAGATATAGGTGTATATTTGTAGAAGAAAGGCTCATGTCCTCGGCTCTCACTGTAATACTCCTTAGCAGGTTGCTACTGTAGAGTGCCAATTGATCATTCTTCTATGCATCTAACAGAAACATAAGCAAAAAAGATAAACATCTTATTTGCTCTCTTATATTTTAGTTAGGTTGAACCACATGAAATCATCAATATCATTTTGATCCTTTCAAAGAGATTTAATCGAACACTTTTTTTTGATGGGACTGGGGTTTGAACTTAGAGCTTTAAAACTTGCAAAGCAGGTGCTCTGCCATACCTCCAGTGCCTTAATTGAACACTTCTCAGGAGCCTAAGTAGTACAATTTGGGGATCGAATGAGTTGCCTGAGTGGGAGAGTTAGGTATTTATGAAAGCTTCTACTTGAGGTAACCAGGTAGATGTCAAAATGACATGATGACCAAAATGGAGAAAATTGAGAAGTATAAATTTTTTAAGAGGAAGATTTTGGGAGGAGGAGGACATAAATAATTGAGATACAGTAGGATATATCTAAGGAGATGTGGGGGATGATAGGATACAAATAATGAGAAATGGCCAGTAGACAGCTGGAAATGTAAATTTGCATAGAGACAGATGTGATGGTTGGCCAATAGGTGGCACTTGAAAGCATGAATGTGAATAAGGTCACCCTGTGAGAGGGGAATGAGGAAAAGAGAACCCACCTGCAGGCTTCTCTTGAGGGCTGGAAGTGAATTATGTAAAGAAAAATCAGGTGTGGTCTATACTTGGAAATACATACAGTCATTCTGGAGTATTCCTTAGTATTTAAAATTAAGAATTAACTATATAGCTTTAAAAGGTTATGTTTCAAATAAGACTCACTTGTTTATTAATGCATTAAGGTATAAGTTAAAGGTTTTCATATTTCCCATAAGAGAAAAAAGTGTGTTCCTGCTGGGCGCTGGTGGCTCACACCTGTAATCCCTAGCTACTCGGGAGGCAAAGATCAAAAGGATGGAGGTTTGAAGGCAGCCTGGGCAAGTAGTTCACGGGACCCTATCTAAAAAATACCCTACACAAAAAAGGGTTGGATGAGTTTAAACTCTATAGCTTGAAAATATTGTGGGATATACCTAGTTTATCTCTAACACTCTTACCTTCCTTCTGTCCTCTACCTGTCTCCTCTCTCCTCCTCCTCCTCTTGAAGTGTACTGCTGGTGGTGGTTTGATTATGAAGTATGCTGCTTTTAAACAGTACACTATAGAAACAACCATTCTTGTTACTATTGCTAGTTCTGAAGTGTTAGTTTGCTGTACCTGTCCATCTGGGCACTCTCTACCTGCCTCAGCATTCTAGTCCCCAGAATCCTTTGAATTAAATCTTGTCGGGGGACCATTCCAATGTGAAACAGACCCCAGACAATCCAGAGAAGGGAAGGACTGCAGTCCTGCTTAAGTGTGGCATTGTGCAGAACTAGTCCTGCGAATTGCTATTAGCTTGAAAGCATTAAGCCATCTAATATGAGCTCTCATATACAGATGCCAGTATGAACTAGCAGTGAATAACTATTCCTTTTACAGTCTCATAGTAACACTTTGAGTAGTTCAAGAATGGGCAGTTCTAGCCAGGTGCCCTGTGGCTCGCGTCTGTAATCCCAGCTACTCAGGAGGTAAAGATCAGGAAGATCACAGTTTGAAGCCAACTTGGGCAAATAGTTTGAGAGACTCTATCTCGAAAAACCCATCACCAAAAAAAGGGCTGCTGGAGTGGCTCATGGTGTAGGCCCTAAGTTCAAACCCCAGTACCACCAAAAAAAAAAAAAAGAGAGAAAAGAATGGGCAGTTTGGCTTTTTCTGGAATTAAAAGGGGTTTCTTCTGGCAGTAAGTTCTTAAGTTAAAGGTACATTTTAGGCTATATTTGAGTATCTTGTGGTAAAGCGTTAAATAATGTTTTTCTTCACAGATATAAAAATCTCAGTATTTCCTTTTGTACTTTTATAAAGAAAGCCATTATTTTACTAATTTCCGTGAGCAGTAGACCCTCTGAAAACAGATGCATACAGTATTCTTTTAGGTTTATTCTGTTACTTCTAAACACTTAACTTCTTAATACATGAAAACTGAATCAATTGTGCATTGATTTATTCAATGACCATTTTTTTAATGACAAGCAAGAAAGTCAGGTAATAAACTCAATGAAATCAGGCTTTTCAAAAATTTTATTGAATGAAAAGAAAATTTCAAAAAAGTTATATAAATGTGCCATTTTTATAAGTTCTTAATCATAGGAGTAAAATTTTAGTTATAATGCTCATTTCTTAAAAATCTCAAGCAAATATGGCAAGTATTAGCATCTGTTAAATCTGGGTATTACATATCTGGGTATCTGTTGTACTTTTTTCTACACCTCTTTGTGCATTTGAAGTATTTCATAATTAAGAATTTAAATTTTAAATTAATAGACCAGGCATGTGATAAGGAGCAAGAGGAACTTCTTTAGGTTGGCTGATGGGGAGGATCTCTTTGAAAGGGAGGTGACAGATGCTATGACCTGAATAACAGGAGGTGTTACTCATGCAGAAAATGTGGGGAAAAATAAACCAGGCATAGAAACTGCTATTGTTAAAGCCTTGAGGCACGAGTAACCTGCCTCAAGTCATTTAGCCTGTTTGGTCGGGAAAACCATTGTATTGATAATTATCACAGCATAACTAGAAAATGGTCAGTTAGTCTTTGAATTCTTAAATGCAGAGAAGATCATTACTTTTAGAGTAATCTCATTGTTTTGTAGTTATTTCCATATAGGGCTTACAGGTGAAGGGGTAATATCAAAAAGAATACAAAACTGACTAGAGCCTGGCACTTATGGCTCATGCCTGTGATCCTAGCTACTCAGGAGCAGAGATCAGGAGGATCATGGTTTGAAGCCAGCCCAGGTAAATAGTTCTCGAGACCCTATCTTGAAAAAACCCATCACAAAAAAGCTGACTTGGTTTATCTGTCAATGTCAAGTCAGGATAGTTTGAGTATCAAAAAGGCAGTAGAGGGCTGATGAAGTGGCTGAAGTGGTAGAGTGCCTGCCTAGAAGGCATGAGGCCCTGAGTTCACACCCCCATACCACCAGGAAAAAAAAAAAAAAAGGCAGAAAGTTGGGTATTATGGTGCATACCTATAGTCCTAGCTACTTGGGAGTCCGGAGGCAGGAGGATTATTTGAGCCCAGGAGTTTGAGGCCAGCCTGGGCACCATAGTAAGACCCCCATCTCAAAAAGCAAAACAACCAACAAAGCAATGCCTTTTGAGACTCTTCTACCTCCTCTTGTGCTTCTAAAGATACTTGTGGTCACATTGGGCCTACCCAGGTAATCTAGGATAATCACCCTATTTAAAGGTTAGCTTTAAAGTAGATTAGTTAGCAACTTTTATTCCATCTGCAACCTCAGTTCCTCTTTGGCATGTAATCTAACATGTTTCCCAGGGATTAAGGCATAAACATCTTTAGGGGAGGTTTCTTTTTCCTTTTCCTTTTTTTTTGCTTTACACCATGGCCAATGCTCAGAACTCTTGAGTGTGACCAGTAATTGGGTTCAAGCTAAAAGGAACTACAGAGTGGTTTGTGCACATTTTCTAATTCTCTTACTAGCCTAAAATATATATGGTAAGTTCGGTATTAAAGAGTGATTCAGTTAGAAGGCAACTGAGTTTGAGTTACATCACAATAGGATGATAGGGAACTGCATAAAATATTCAAGCAGATTTTCAGTTTTATACCAAAGTATTTTGATTTAATTGCACATTCAGGGAAGCTTTGAGTTTAATATTAATTTTTATTTTTATTATAGAGTGTTACTACCTGCGGATGCCACTGTTGATATGGAGAAAATTGAGGAAATGTTTGCTGGTCTGCATATTGTTAACCGTTCCTTGGCACCTAAAGAGCCCACTTATCTGCTTGGTATAGACACATCAAAGACTGTACAAGCAGGAAAAGGAAGCTTGGTTGCAGTTTTATGTTCTAATGGATCAATAAGAATACATGATAAAGAAACGCTGAATATACTGCGAGAATTCAGTGGATATCCAGGACTTCTTAGTGGAGTCAAATTTGGAAATTCCTGTAACAGTGTATATTCAGCAAGTACTGATGGCACTGTGAAATGCTGGGATGCTCGAGTAGCCAGTGAAAAGCCTACTCAGCTGTTCAAGGGTTACCCTTCCAATATTTTCATCAGTTTTGATATCAACTGTAAGGACCATGTCATTTGTGCTGGCACAGAAAAAGTTGATGATGATGCATTGTTGGTATTTTGGGATGCAAGAATTAATTCTCAGGATTTTTCTACTGCTAGAGACCCGCTTGGTGCCTATTCAGAGACACATAGTGATGATGTCACTCAAGTATGCTTCCATCCCAACAATCCCAACATGGTTGTCTCGGGTTCAACTGATGGCCTGGTAAATGTATTTGATATTAGTGCTGATGATGAAGAGGATGCCCTGCTTGCAACCTGTAACTCAGCATCATCAGTAAGCCATATTGGTTGGTCTGGAAAAGATTATAAACAGATTTACTGCATGACACATGATGAAGGATTTTGTTGGTGGGATCTCAATCACTTGGATACTGATGAACCAATTACACGTTTGAATATCCAAGACGTCAGAGAAGTAATTGATGTGAAAGAAGGTAATTTGGACTGTTTGATTGGTGGCTTATATCATGAGAAGATGAATAAATTATTTGTTGTTGGAGGTGCAAACACAGGAAGGATTCATTTAATGAGCTGCACCACTGCAGGACTGGCCCCAGTGGCCAGCCTGGAGGGAGGGCATACTGCCACAGTTCGATCCTTCTGTTGGTGTGTGCAGGATGATTCTCTGCTGACTGGGGGAGAGGATGCACAGTTACTGCTCTGGAAACCTGGAGCTGTGGAGAAGACCTTTACAAAGAAAGGCGGCATGAAAGTGGTATCCTCTGTGCACCAGCGAGTGCGCATCCATAGTAGCCATTCTTACAAGAGAAGGAAAAGGTGATGCTGCCTTGGGAATTTACTTGATAGTCTGTGTGTGTGTGTGTGTGTGTGTGTGTGTGTGTGTGTCTGTCTGTCTGTCTGTCTACTGCCTATAGTAAATGTAATTAAACTTTATATATAAAAACAAGCCAGTTAGCAAACAGTAGGACAAATGCTGAGGATGGCATAATTCAGGTTTATATTCTAATACATTTTTAAAACCCATCTATTGAGTTAATAAATGTTGGGTTTAAAGAAGTAGATCTGATAGCAACTTTTTAGAAGTAGATAGCTGATGAAACTTAATAAAACCAGTGTTTTGGGCTGTTTTTTAAGTTCAGATTTTTACATTTGAAATTATCTTCATTGTTTATACAGCCAAACCAGACTATTGATTTGAGGAGCTTCTACTTCTTTAATATATCTAATATATTACCTTGGAGTATAAATGTAAATATTCTCATGAGTCTAAGTAGAATTATATATATTTTTTGAAATGAATGAGTATACCTAAAATGAGAAAAATATATTCAGTAAATATTTGCATCTATACTTTAATACTATTTACTATTGGCGGAACAGTAAACAAGTGTTTTGCTGATGAAAAGGAAATTTCTCTTGCTAGATTCATTTTAAGACAATGGCTCAAGTGGCAGAGCACCTGTCTAGCAAGTGTGAGGCCTAAGTTCAAACCCCAGTGCCACCAAAGAAGAAAATATTCAAGATGTTTCAAGTATGATATATTTGAAACACCCCCACCCAGCACAACAGGAAAAACAATTAGAAGACTCAAAGTAAAATATAAAAATGAAAATATAATAGTAGGACTATTTTTGTTGTTGGTTTTTATTTTGTTTTTTGCAGTACTGCAGTTTGAACTCTAGGAATAATAGTAGGACTGTTTTTATTTCAAAATAGCCTTTCAATTGTACTTTGTGATAAAATTTTGTTCTATAGTATTTATCCATAATTTTAAATTTGAAGTTTTGTTTATTCTTAATCATATCATTCTTTCTTTCAAAAAGTATTTCTGTAAAGAATCTTAATAAAAGAAGTTAATTTTTCTAATAATTTGGTGTATTGTCTTATTTCTTAAAGTAAGAAGATCCTTTTATAGATTAGAATTACGAAAAACACAAATGTGCTTTAGAATCTTTTTAGATTTCTCTTCAGAAATTTTTTTTTCTTTGGCAGGACTTGGATTTGAACTCTGGGCTTTTTCCTTGCAAAGTAGGTGCTCTACTGTTTCAGCCATACCTCCAGTCCATTTTGCTGTGGTTATTTTGAAGATGGGGGTCTCGGGAATTATTTGCCTAGGTTGGCCTTGAACTGTGATCCTCCTGAGCTCAGTCTCTCAAGCAGCTAGGATTATAGGTGTGAACCTGGTACCTGGCCTCTTTTAATGTTAAAAAGATGACTTAGCTTTGACTCTGACACTAAGAGAAAATTAATTTTTCTGTAGAAAATGCAGCTTACATTTAGGTTATGATCTAGCTTGACTCATTCAAGGCTGTACAATAGGTAAGTCACTCCACATATTCGAAATATATAATTCTTTGTGTGTGGGGGGGTGTTACTGGGGTTAGAACCAAGGGTTTCATAGATGCTAAGCATGCACTTCACCACTGAACTATACCTCCTGCCCTGCTGTCTATTTTTAGAAGACCTGTGAAGTGTGAATGGTTTCACATGTTAAATAGTTGAAAAAAGCCAAAAAGAGTATTTTGTGATGTGAGAGCATTATTTATAGTAGCCCAAAGGTGGAGACAATCCAAGTGTCCATCAGTAGATGAATGGATGTGGTATATCTGTCCATTCAATGGGATGTTATTCAGCCATGCAAAAGTAATAAAATACTGATACATGGTACAACTTGAATGAATCTTGAAAGCATGCTAAAAACAACTGCAAAAGACCCTACGTAGGATTCCACTTACGTGAAGTGCCAATATTCCAGTCTCTAGGGAAAGAACATTAATCAGTGGTTGTCTAGGGCAGGAAGTGGATGGAAAATTGGGGAATTAGTGGGTGACAGCTAAAGGGTATAAGATCTTTTTTGGAGGTGAGACGGGTGTTCTAAACTTGGCAATGAAGGCTGTACAACTCTGAATATACTAGAAATCAATAAATGTTTAACTGTTTTTAAAAAATTAAATGGATATAAAAATTGTACATTCTTTGAGGCAGAAGGACTGCTAGCTCAAGGCCAGACTGGACTACATAGTGCATCACTGTCTCAGTGGAAAAAAATGTACATTTATGGGGTACCATGCAGCGTTTCCAGACATGTATACATCATGTAATGTTTAAATCAGGGTAAAATAGCTCCTCCAGTATTCATCCTTTCTTTATGATGAAAACATTCAAAATCTTTTCTTCCTGCTTTTTGAAATACACAGTATATTATCGTTGTCTATGGTTGCTCTACTGTGCAACAGCATACCAGAATTTTTTACTCCTTTTTAGGCATTACCCACTGATAATAGTTCTCTATCACTCCCTGTCCTCGTGCTTATATGGGTGAATTGTTCACAGCTATTTAAAAAAAAAGAACCAGACAAATGAGAATCAAGAAGCCAGGGTAGCAATCTTAATAACTGACAAATGGAATTTAAGGCTAATATAATATTGGTTCCAAAGCAAGTTAAAGATAGGGAATAAAAGGTCTATTTTGTTCACAAATATTCACAATTAAAATTATTAGATAACCCAATATAATGACTTTTTGTTTTAAAAGCATTATAATTTTAAAAAGTAACAATATGACCAATATAGTTTACTTCAGGAATGTTGGTAATTCAATAGAAAATCTATAATAATGGTCATAATAAAAAAAGTCATGATTGTCTTAATAGATAAATATGTGGGAAGGTTTAAACCTGTGTATGAAAAATATTACCAGCAGTCTAGGAATAGAATAATTTAACTTGGTGAAGGTTTATATATCAAAAGTAGAGAAATACTAAATTAAAATGCATTGCCTTTAAGACCAAGATTTAGTGAGGTATGTAAATTAGTATAGCTATTATGGAAAACAATATGGGGGTTTCTCAAAAGATTAAAAACTACCATATGATCCAGCCATCCCATGACTAGGTATAAATTCAAAGGAAATGAAATCCATATGTTGAAGAGACATCTGCACTCCCATGTTTATTGCAGCACTATTCACAGTAGTCAAGATAGGGAAATTAAGTGTCCATCAACTGATAAATGAGTGAAGAAAATGTGCATATACACAGTAGAATATTATTCAGCTATTAAGGAGGAAGGAAGGAAGTCTCATTTGCAACAACATGCATGGCATGGAGGACATCATGTTAGGTGAAGTAAGCCCGGCACAAAAAGCCATGTGTGAAATCTAAAAGAGTTGGACTCACTGACCTTGAGAGTAGAATAGTGGTTAGAGGCTGGGAAAGGTTGGTCACTAAGTTAAGGTACAGTTATATAGAAGCAAGTCGTTCTGATGTGCTACTGCACAATATGGTGGCTTAAAAGTTCGAAGAAACAAGGTGGACATGGGGACTCACACCTGTAATCCTAGCTATTTGTGAGGCTGAGATCAGGAGGATTGGGGTCCCAGGTCAACCAGGGCAAATAGTTCATGAGACTCCCCCATGTCCACAATAACCAGAGTAAAATGGACTGGAGGTGTGGCTCAAACCTCAAAACTCAGTACAAAGTCCTGAGTTCAAACCTCAATCCCACAAAAGCAAAAAAACAATCTTCAAAGTTTTCACTATAAACAAATAATAAATATTTGAGGAGATATGTTTACCTTGGTTTAAACCTTACATGTTACATGTATACACGTATTGAAATATCATACGAGGACTTTATTGTATCAAGATGTGATAGGCAGATGAAGGGTATATGTGAATTTTAAAATACCTTCTAGGATGCTTCCAGTTAACCAGTTTGTATGCTCTCCCCTGATTTCACAGAAATCTGTGAAATTTACCACAAATTCAGGACATGCTCTTACGAATTTTAGAACCACCCACTTCAAGTGCTATAGATCTGGCAGTTGATACTTTAGGAATTACAACTGTTACATAAGCCTCTCATTGCCTATGTTAAAAATCCTTCACAAAGAAGTAAATCATCTCTGGAGAAAAATAGTATCATTGGGGGCGCGTGTGCACATGCACACACAATGACATTCAAGAAAAAGGCATGTGCAAAGATAAAACCATATAGCTGAAAATCTAGAAGAAAAACCAAATATAAAAGCAGATCTAGATGTTAGCATTGACAAAGACTTACTATAATGTATTCAAATTAGACAAAATAGATAAAAAGGTAATTTCAATATGAAATTATTAACATCTATAAAGAAGATTCAAATGGGCATTCTGTCACTGAATTAGGAACTTGGTGGATGACTGCAGATGTGGTTCAAGTAGTAGAGCGCCTGCTTTGCAAGTGTGAAGTCCTATTCAAACCCTGTCCCACCAAAAAAAAAAAAAAAAACCAAAAACTCAGTGGATAAATTTAACATCAGAACAGATGCAGAGAAGACGGTTAATAAAAATACTCAAAGTACAAAGAGAAATGCCACAAGAAAGCTTAAACTGAGAACATCAGAAGGTCTAACACATATATAATTAGAGCTCTGAAAGGGACAGAGAGAGCGAAGCAAATTCACTAACTGAGGAGATAATGGCCACAATGTTTTTTAAAAAATGAAAGATAACAATTCACAGATTGAGTAAATTTAGCATCTTCAAATTGGAGAAGTACAAAGAAAAGCACACATGGGTGAATTATCAAATTCACCTATGATAAAATTAATAAAATTTGATCAATTGATAAAATTCAAAATGGGGAAAATTCTTAGAGGCAACTAGAGGAAAATGATACACTATTTCTCAGCAACAATAATTAGACCAATAACTGATTCTTATGAGAAAAAATGAAAGTCAGGAGACAGGAAAAAGATCTCTAAAATGATAAAAGGAAAAATGAAACCCTAGCTGATCTTGCATTCTGTAACCAGTGAAAATGTTAAAAATGAAATTAAGATATTTTAGTCAAAAATGGATATAATTAATCACAGCAGGCCTGCATTAAAAGAAATACTAAGGAGGGTTCTTCAGACAGAAGGAAAATGAATCCAGACAGAACTGGAGATGTGGCTCAAATAGTAGAGCACCTGCTTTGCAAGTCCCACCAAAAAAAAAAAAAAAAAAAGCGAGATCCAAATGGTAAGTGTGTGGTCAAGTATAAATTAATATTAACTGTACTAGTGCTAGTAAGGACTTGTAGAATTAAAAATATGTGTATAATTAAAATACATGCGCGCACATAGAAATAAGATTTTTAAGGTAACAGGATTATTAGGAAGTAAAAGTAAGTTAGATGTGGTGGTGCGCACCTGTAATCCCAGCACTTGGGAGGCTGAGGCAGAGGATCTCTAGTTTGAGCCAACCTGGACTACATAGCAAGACCTTAACTCAAAACCAACCAACCAAATAATAAATAAACAGCATTGTAATTTCTAGGTTATCTAAGGGAATGTATAAAATTTAATAGAGGGGAAAATGAAAAACAAAGTTTGGTTCATATTTTAAGACACAGGAAAGAAAAGGAGAAAAACGAACACAGCCAGCTTTAGTTTACCTTAAAGCAACTGAGGCCAATAGGAAAAGGGGACCAGGAACTAGAGAAAAGGTTAGATCAAAAAGAATTAACCTAGAAGGTAACACACATGCACAGGAAATTAATGTGAGTCAATGCCCTGTATAGCTATCCTTATCTCAACCAGCAAAACCCCTTGTTCCTTCCTATTATTGCTTATACTCTCTCTACAACAAAATTAGAGATAAGGGCAAAATAGTTTCTGCTGGGTATTGAGTGGGGGGAGAGGGAGCGGGGGGAGTGGGTGGTAAGGGAGGAGGTGGGGGCAGGGGGGAGAAATGAACCAAGCCTT